AAGATAATTTCCTATATAGTAATTAGTTATAAAATGTTTTATAACTTAGTAAATTTATTTACTAAGTTTATAAGACAAAATAAATTAATTAATTAATTAAAATACATACATAATAATAGAACATTATTTCTTAAATAAATAATTTCAATCTAGAAAAGAATTATCAATAATCAATAATTGAAAATGCTGAATTATAGTAAAGTTTTGTAATTTTAATTATTTATAATAATTATTAATAATAATTATTTCCAACATCTGTAGCTTTGAATTATATGAGCGCTAAGGTAGGTTTTCTTTTTCACTAGACTTATTATACCACCATTGTTTGTTTTCTGTTTTGTAAATCATTTTAAATTTAATCATTATTTTAGCTTATACCTGTTAATCTAATACCTGCCATCCATATTTTATCTAATGTCACAACTCATACATTTCTCATAATCCATGTTTCCTAATGATCTTTTACAATTTTGTAACATTACAATAAATTTATGCTAACCTGTATGTAATTTTCCCTATATAGTTTTAACACAAGAGTTGAAAAGGGACATAATTGTCCGAAATGCATACTCAAAGAAATAAAAAGTTTTTCTAAAGCTTGTCCTCCTTTTTATTGATGGTATAATAAGTCTAACGAAAAAGAAAAGCCACCATAGAACTCATATAATTCAACACAAGACTAGACAAGAAGCATATCGCATAAATCTATAGCTTTGTTTTTTGTTTTGTTAAGTTATGGTCATGCAACATTTCAGCGATTTGTCTAAGGGGATGGCTTCTGGGAGGTCTTTTTAAGGGTAGCTGCCCCTATTCAGGTGTTACAGACTTCTACGGAGAAAACTCAGAAAACTCCATGTGCTGCCAGCCCATCCTGGCAAGGCGCAAACCCACAACTGAACTTCCAGTGTTCAGGGTACGAAGACCACTTGGCCACTGGTGCGCTCCAACATCTATAGCATTTAGAATTTTTTTTTTATTCAAGAATTTAGAAAGCTAATGAACAGCATTAAAAAAACAAAACAGAAATATCTCAAAAAGTTTGGATTTAATATAAGCATACATTTTAAATTATTATATCACAGTACATGGTTCAGACTAAAAATAAGAATAAATAAAAAGAATGCATAACATTGAATAAATCACATAAATAAAAAACATCTCAAATATTACAATTTGTTTCTGATTTAATTCAATAATTTTTTTTAAACATTATTGAATTGAATCAGAAACAAACTGTAATTTTTGAGATGTTTTTTTATTTTCAATTTTTAATTTCATTTGCATTCATAACAATTTAAGAAATGCAGAAATTGTATATTTTTTATTAACATCTTTTAATTTTTATAAGTTATTCAAGAATAATACATTCTTTTGATATTTCCATAACTAATTTTCTTTACAATAGTAAATTTGAAAATTTATTTCCAAATTTATTTACTGTAATATATTGAAAAAACAACATTTAATACCTTATAGCCAAAATTAATTTTTTAATCAATGATAAAAGATGAGTTTATTAATTGAAATTCTAAAATCCCTAAAATCCTAAATAATATTAACAATTTTTTAAATTTTTATAAATGTTCTAAATTTTTAACTTACATTAAAACTTTTGTGTTTTTATTTAAATCTTTATGTATAGTACTAGTATAATCATAGATAATAAATTATAAAATTATTTTTTAAATTTTAACTTAAATTTTTAACTTAAATTCAAATTTAAGTTAAAATTTAAATTAACTTAAATTTTTTAACTTATAAAATAAAATTTATAACAAAATATAAAAATAATCATCATCTTGAAAATTTTGCCAGTTTGGCAACAAGTTTGTTTAGTGAAGTGAAGTTTTTTTGTACACTATGTCCTCAGTTAAAATTGTGCATTAGGCATGTTATAGTCATTTTTTGGTCTTTAATGATATTTATTTTTCAATGAAAGAGTTTGTGTTAGTTTTACGTAATTATAGATCTAAAATACTAAAACAGTTTTACATAATACTGTATGACTGATATCTATAGAGTATACTAAAAATATAAAGTAAATTATTATATTGAGTAAATTAATTCTCTTGACAATAAACTATCATCAATATATTTATAATTTTTATCTAAATAATATTAACAGTATTACAAATATTTAAAATTACTTTTATGTAGCTTTATGACAAGACATAAGATGTTTATTCTGTAATACATTTATATATATAATTCTCTGTTATATTGGAAATTAAGTACTATTATTGAAAATTTCTTAATTATTATGAAACAGCATAAATAAAAAAATCAATATAGAAGCAAGGAGGTATATCCATAAGGTAGATGAATTCTTCAAATTGACATGGGATAAAAGTTTTTTCCCTGGTACTCTAGAAAACTCAGCTTAGCTTCACTCTTTAGCATCTTGTCAAGATTCAAAAGAGTAAAGCAAAGCCAATATAAGTTAGAAGCAATGAATAAAGCATTTTCCATTTATATTGACTCAATAAGTATAAGATAAATGATTTAAATACAGAAAGTTAAATAATGATGAAGTATTTCAGTTCATTTTAACAAAATCATCTTTAAATAAATCAAAATACAGATTATATTTAATAATGAAATTGTTGAAGTATAAAGAAATAGAATAATTTTGTCATAGATCAATTCAATTCTCCCATTTTATATGTCATTTTATATGTCTCTAAAAGCAATTTTAAATGAAATGAATTTAAAACAAACAACAAAGAAAATAAATAAAATAAATTTGATAACTTTTTACTATTAAGTTTTATCTTTTTCAGTAGACTACCCATAGATTATTTATGGAGGAGACTAACTTCCTGGTATCAAATGATGTCTATAGGAGTTCAATGTATTTCCTATTCAACTTTTGAATCCTGGCAAATTGCCAATAACTTTGTAAAACTGTTCTACCTAGGACCTCAGTACCTATAAGTCTTAATTTTAAATTATTAATATGTTAAAGATTTTTGTTTATATCAATTCCAATATATTATTGATCCTTCAATAACATAAAATCCACACTCAATAATTTGTTTTAAAAACAAAAATAAAGAAAAAAATTACTGTTTTTCAAACATAACTAGATAGATAGAGATGTAATGGAGCTGATTATTATAAAACATTTTTCAGAGATTTCTTGTATTATCGTTTAGTTCCATTATACTTATTAGACTTAAAAAAATTTTCAAAATTTCTTTGCTATTTAAAGTCGATATATTGATTAAATTATTCATCAAAATGTTAACATATATACTATTCTTATTCTATAATTTCTGAATGAAGTAATTCTGAATTTTCTAGATGAATAGTTAAATATAAAAATTTATTGAAAAATAATGTTTTATATTTCAATTTCTGTTTTACTTAAATATATTTTTACATTTAATCAGAATTTATAGTTCTTTAAGATTAACTATATCAACATAATTTCAGAAATTTGCCATAAAATAGAAAACTAATTCTATTATAGTAGTACAGTATTTTATGTTCATATATAGAGTGACCATATTATTAATTGTGCAAACCAAAACCAAGACTGAGTGAAAAATGTGTTTAAAAATGGCTAAACTTAGATGATCTTTTTAAAAATTTAAAAATTTTTAAAAATTTTTCCAGGACAGTCCCAGATTTCTCCTGTTTTTCAACCAATATATATATACTGACCTATAAATTGGTTATATTGCATTAGAAGACCTATAAAATAGCTCTGTTTAAAATTTTATTCTATTTTTGAGGTTGAAAAACAGGAGAAATCTGGGACTGTCCTGGAAAAACCAGGATATATGGTCACCCTATTTATAAAAATGCAGATTTTTGAGCATTATACATTAGTTAATCTTAAAAAAATTCATTATCATATTATTTTACACTAATTTTTAAGATGTTAAATCCTATTAAATATCATTGAAAACTTCTCAAAATTTTTTATATATTATATCCAATAACTTGTAAAAATTTTCATACATTAAAATATATCATTTTAACAAAATTATACTATGATATTTATAAAATTTCAAGTCAAGACATTCCAGAAGTGAAATGCAAATAAAAGCAAAGAAAAATTTCTTTAGGCCTCAATAAAAATGTATTTTATTAGAATTATTAAGCAATAGTCTAATCTGATAGTGATAGCTTTAAAAATTATAAAGCTTTCATTATATTTTCATAAGCATTTAACTACATTAATATTTAAATCATCATGTGTAAATATATCATCATTTACATGTAAAAGTGTTTCCTAGTTAATTTAATAAATTCACTCATTTTAATTGAATATAATTCATTAACAAAATATTTGAGTTTTCAAATTAAAGTAAAACAGCATTTATAGCCTCCATAATCATCATCATAAGTAACATTACAATTGATTGTTTTCTATAATTTTTCTTTTATATAAATATACTTAAATCCCATTTATGTATATAAAATACAAACATTCTATTTAATGAATATTTAATTTATACATATAATATACACAGATTAATATGCTTTCATAACTGATTATAGAAAGCATAAATAATGCATGTGTTTTCTTTAATTAATCAAGTACCATTCACAACAGTTTTATTAAATGTTAACTATAATCGCGTCGCGTCGTGACGCGTCTAAGCGCGCCATCAATATGAAAAAGTAGTTAACACGAATAACTTGGTTGAGGTTCGATGATCGTCGCTAAAACACGATATCTGTATTCGCTCTACTGCATTTACATGAATAAAAATTCAATTAATTTTATGTATTCACGAAATATCTAGTAGTTTATTCGTAAGCGTGACTGCACGCGAAGGACGCGACGCGTGACTGAAAATCACATATTAAACGATTCGTCAAATCACGTCAAGAAAAAATTTATATAAAGTTAACCTGCTACCTAATTAAACAATAATACAGCATATGTTTATATAATAGATTAAAATTAGGAAGGAAAATGTGATTTATCAAGAAACAAATATTTATCTTACATGTAAACAAATGGAATCATTTTCTAAAGTACTCACCCAGAATAAAAGGTTAAAAATAATAACAAGATATTTTATACAGGCGTAGCAACCTTTTAAACCCATTGTTTAAAGAACAACGTTTTAATCCGAACTAAAAAGAACTTCCTTTCTTCCTCTCACAAATCATTAAAGTTGGAGGGAAAAGATTGCGCCGACGCAACAACTCCACTTCCGCTGATTTATTGGTTCGTTATTTCTGTTTAACTTCTATTTTTGACAATGTTACTAACGATGATGTAGTCGATTATTTTATCTTCATCATAATAGAAGTTAATTTTAATATGTTCATACATTCACTTATTACGTTTAATCATCGTATAACTTGATTTTTTATTTTTATTTCTTATCGTATCTTTAAAGTATTGTTTTCATCCTTTATAACTAGGATGATCATCTGTTCCAGTTCGTCCTGGACAGTCCTGGATTTCTTCTAGTTCTTTGGTGTGGTCGAGTCCCGGACCGCACCAGTGGTGAAGTAAATAAAACCGGGAAACACTGGCATAGGTTCACGGGCTGGCCACCGGTTTTCTTCACGTGTCTAGCAGCTAAATAGGGCCCCTTACCTATAGAAAGTCCCCCGGAAGACATTCCCTTGGCAGATCGCTCACGTGTAGCGTTGCTATATCCAATCAAACCATCTAGTTCCGGATTTTATCTGTTTTTAGCTCTTAAAAATAGAATAAAATTATAAATAGGACCGTTTTATAGGTCTTCTAATATAAAATAATTAATTTATAGGTCAATATATAAATAATGTTTTAAAATAAAATAATCCAAGTTTAGTCATTTTTATATCCGTTTTTCACTCACTCCCGACCTAAAACTATTCGATTTGGACGATAAAATATATGATCACCTTAATTACAGCAGTAACAATTTAAATTCTTTATTCTGTAAATTCATATTATTTTGTCGAAACGTTAATATTTTTATTTCCTTATAAATGTAATACCGAATTTCAATAAAATGTATGCAAATGGTGTAACTATTTTATAACGGATTACCGTTAATGATGAAAGAACCGGGTAAAAATCGGAAACTTCCTCTATGAAAATATTTATCAACAAATATTTACTCATAAATTCTGTATATTGTGAACTTTTCCTGAAATAATTAAAAGTAAATTGAATCTATTCGCATAAAAATAAAATTTATTGCATCTATTATTAATCATAAGATTGAATACAAATTTGCCACATTTGACAACTTATTGGTCACCTGTCTATGAAACTACTGTATATTTTCAAACCTTTACAATAAATTTAAACAGGAAATAGTTACTCTTGTACATCATAAATTTACAGTTTAAATGGAATTACTTTAATATAAAATCTATAATATTTTATAAAAATAAGAGTGGAGTCGATGAGCTGGATCCGCTACCGTAGCGAAGCAACGGAAAGTCTTCAAAACATGATGTTTGAATTTTAGAGAAAAAAAAGAAAAAAAACTTTTTTTATACTCTTTCCGCCCTGTGGGCACTAAAAGGGCCTTTTAAAGCAGGCCCATTACGGGTTCGGCCAGGCCCACAATGGGGCGACCGGGTGGTGAGGAACGGTGCCCGACATAGTCGAACGGACCACCCCCGAAGGATTCCGGGGATTCTTTGACCCGTCCGGATTCGATCCCGGGTTCCCCAAAGCGGTAGGCTGCCACCTTGACCGCTCGGCCATTCGGCCGTCAAAGAAAGAGAAAAAAAAAAAACTTTGCAAATGTAAATATAACGTTGCATGACGTAGTACAGTAGACCCCCTATAACGCTTAGATACGTTCCACGCTAACCGAAAGTTATGTTGTAGGAACGATTAAATACATGAGCCAATTTCAGCCCGATAGGTGGGAACTTTACGGACTAAGGCTGTTCGAAAGGTTTTCTTCTATAAAATTAACCGATTCTAGACTAATTCCACTCAACATTTCCAAAATACGTATAATTTTTTGGGAATAATCTGTATAAACTATGCTATAAACAAAAAATTATAGGATTACTTATCGAGTGTGTACCGTTCGACTACGCCGTTGCTTAAAGCTGGTTTTCATCGCGGAACAGCACATTAAACGACGGCCGCGATTTCTAATAACGAATTTTTCGCATAAAAATAACTTGACCTTTGGAGACATCATTAATATAAATAATTTTTATGGACGTTGAATAAGAAGTATTTCTTTCACAAGAAATGTATAAAATTAGTGCTGTATTAGACTTACGGTACCTAATTTACATACTGTACAGACGATAATAAACTCAACTTACTAGCCTAAAATCTCCGTAGCATGTTGCCAGGCGGCAGAAAGCATATATATAATTATAATAAAATTACAATAAATTAAGTTAATGTATAATTATATGTACAGTACCTAATTTATATATAATTTATATATAATACTAAACAGACGATAGCAAACTCAATTTAGCCGCTCCGTAGCGTGGCGCAGGGTCCGAGGTAAGTAGTTCGGCTGCTCATCCACTATTAGTCCAGACTCTATCAATCTTCTCGCGAAACGACGTTATAGGAGGTACGTTATACGAAAGTTTCTACAATTTTTTCGCTACGTTATAGGAATTGTCGTTATAGGAACGTACGGTTAAAGGGGGGGTCGACTGTATTACGTTTTTATTTTTATCTCAAATTTCTTGCAAAAATGCTGAGATTATAATTTTCTAATATATATTCTATATACCAATAAATTATGTTTTACTTCGTAATAAACATGGAACTATTTCATTCTCGCACGTAAACTGTTGAACATCGTTTCCATTCTTATTCTGGAAAATATCATCATTCTTATTCTGGAAAATCTAACGGGCCGGATAACCGAGGCGATGCGTTAGAGCCAGTGTTTCTCAAACTTTTTTGTCAAGTGGCACACTTGAAATTATTAAACAAAATTCACGGCACCCCTATTATTATTATTTATTATTTTGCTTTTTACGGTTAGTAAAGATATGAAGGATGAGAAGACTTTGAAAAAAATAAAAGTTTTTTATTAAAGTAAGTTTATTTCCAAACAACACAAAAGCATTCAAAACAAAAGTTATTATTATAAAGGTATCTTTTAATTATTTATTTAATTTAATACTTTAATTCAATTATTTTAAGTAATTTTAATTTAATTATTTAAAAATTTCGCGGCACCCTTCTGGCGTTCTTGCGGCACCCTAAGGTGCCGCGGCACCCGCTTTGAGAACCACTGCGTTAGACTATCAATCTGGGAAACCCGAAATCGAATATGGGCAGAGAACTCTGGGAATTTTTCATGGGCGACCTGACCCAGATAAACTAAGTCCTGTCCATCACTACCCGGTCGCAACACTGTGAGCCTGTTTGAAACCATAATGGTTATATAAATAAAAACCTTTTTACTACCCACAGGGCAGAGTCAAAAATGAAAAACCCACCGATGGCCGAGTGGATAAAACCACTGAACACTGGTAGTTGGTTGCGAGTTCGCTGCTGACCAACGGTCTGGCAGATGGTTTTCTCCAGATTTTCTTTACATTTGCCAGGTAATTGAGGAAAAAACCGGTACAAAATGGAGTTTTTCCAAAAGATGCTGGGACGCTTCAATTCCAGGATATGCAACAGCGCATATTCTAACGTAAAACTGGACAGAAACGTGTAATGCGAATTTTGACTTGTGCAGTGGGAATCTCATATTTTTGCAGTAATTAATTGTCCAATTCTTGGTTTTATAAGTATTTCTTTCTTCTAGTTATGTTAATTAAAGTTAAAATATTTACCTAAATCACACAATATAAGGTAAAACCTATCCAAAACGGCACTTGAATAAAAAGGAAACCAGCATAAAACAGAAAAAATTCTTCGGAACGGAGCGATTTTCTACGTTAATAAAAAAAAAAACCTGTTGAAAACAGAAACCTGTCAAACAGGAAAAAATTTTCGGTACTATGCGATTTCGATTTACACAGATTTTACTGTATATTTTATTCGGCCCACGAAAAAGAGCTATGGTAGGAATGTTGGTAGGATTTACCATTTGCATTGAATATAATACAGTACAATTAGAGTTGCCACCTTTTCAAAATCGCTGACCCGGAAGGCAGGTGAGGTTCTTTCGAACAGAAGTTCCTGACACATGCGCAATGTCATTTTGCAATGCGAAGAATAATTTGCAGTGCATGCCGGTTCTAAATCAGTTACAGTTAGCGACTATGGGGAGACTTGGATAGGAGTAACGCAAGTGACCTAGCTCTATTGGATATTAGAGGTGTATATGATTACGAATGAATCGTACAAGCAAAAAAAAAGCAGCACTGCGCCTAATGCAAACGACTACCACACTAGTAATTCGGTACACGAGGGAAGAAATATATGCGACGGTTTGCATATAATTTTGTACATATTCATTTCAACTTGCACAACCCTGAGAAATATTAATTAACCCCGGAGCCCGGAGATAACTCACTCAATCTCGGAGTCTCCGGGTCAAACCCGGACAGATGGCAACCCTAAGTACAATACATAATTTTTTATGTAGACGCAACATCAATATTAGTGTTTTTCCAACGGGATCCCGGCTGTCTTTTAACACGGAAAATATCCCGGGAAATCACGCGAATTTCTTAAACATTCACCTTTTTTTAATTTTGTGTTAAAGTTGAGGAAATTTTGAAAATAGAAAGTATAATTAACCCACAAACTGTCAGTATACATTTGTATTTATTAATTTTAAGGCTGCTCATTAACTTTTTTAATTTTTGTTTATTATGGCTTATCACAGATTGTCAATAATCAATATGTAACCTATTTGTGACGGGACTCTGAAAATTCTTTACTTGTCAGAACCTGTAATAACTGGAATAATTGTGCTTATGGTATCTTAATTTTTAACCATGCCTAGTAGTTCAATAACTGCATTATGCCAGGTTGTACAAATTGTGCAAGGATACGAACGAGTACGAAATATGCAAGTATGAAGTTTTTCTTCATAAACCTAATTATTAAAGCCAAACAAACTGCCGAATTATCGGGCAATAAGCTTGATGCCATTATTAAAGCACCGAGGTAGACAAATCGAGAATACTAGAAGGCAAATGAAATAGGGGAACCCGAGACGGAATAGGAAAGACGATTTACATATGAAAGAGAGGTGAGGGAATAGGTTCGCTCCCGTCCTACACTCAGATTGTGACAACTCGTTAGTGTGAATACTTGGTTACCGAGATTCGATATCTGTTGACCAATAAAACCTTGCGTCGTGATTTTTTGATGAAATTACAAATGTATCAACACTAAAACAATTAAAGTACTGTATATGGTATATTTTATAATTTAACCAAAGTTATATAGTTTAGTTTATTAAAGATTTGTTTGCTTGTATTTTTAGAATGAAATAAAGCAAAAAGTAATCATAAACTTTTTCTTTACTTGATTTTTAGGATCATGTGCTTTCGGGCACAACGGGTGGGGCACAATGGGACGGTTTCCCGTAAAGGAAAAGTAAAAAGGAAAAGGTAAAGGAACAGGGAAAAAAGCAAAGTCTAGTAAAAAAGAACAAGAGGACGATTACTCGGAAGAAGATGATACGACTTGCCTTTACTGCACGGAGGCTTACTCACAGTCGATTGAGGGTTGGTGTTCGTGTGTCGCATGCAAAAAATGGTCATATATCTTGTGCGG